TTGTCAATTTGGGCCCCAGTCGCGCATGCTGATTTCTAAGATAATGACTAACAAGAAATATGATAGTTCAGGCCAGGGTTTGGGTTGCAAGACTTGCAGTGGTGTATAAATATAGGGTGGCAATCGAAATAAATATATAGTTGTTGAAGTCTCGATACCGATTGGCATGTGATCGCTCGTGCTACCTTGACGAGGCATGTTCCGTCCCGTGGCTTATGATGGTGGCGAGACTATGGCACTCATCGCCGAGATCAGCTGTCTCGACCTTCGCTTCTGCCGATGCCGAAAGCTCTAGGCCAAAAAGAATTACGGCAGCACGTCAAGCTATCATCGAGGCAGTTATCCTGCGGCAGGTAAACACCATTCAGATGCTGCTGAAATGACGGCTGCCTCAGGTGCAATTAAATCAAGAGTTATTCTAACGATTATAGAACAAATGTCTCTTGTTGGCGTGCCAGATGTGAGGTAGGAGGTCATGGTAATAAATGATTGGCTCTAACGTTCTTCTTTCAGGTGGTCAGCTAAGCAAAACGGTACCTCTTATCCCAGAAAATAGGTTTGCCACTATGGGGCAAACCGCAGAATCATTTCATATAAAACAAGCGTGTTCAAACCCGTTGGGGCCTTTTTTTAAAAAAATTTTTTTTACGCACTTCGCCGCATCGATCGATTGTTCAGCAAAGCTACAGGAATTCCGTTGGTCACTGTCTTTCCAGATTAATGTACTCAATAAGCGCATGCTCAGTTTGCTTGATTACTGCTTCGTGCACGTTGCAATGCCCATAATCATACTTCGCGCAATGAGGCGTTTAATAGCACAATGATGACATACGCGCAAGGGCTGATATGATTAGTTAGTTTGCTGGCGTGTGGCAGTCAAGTCACATGTGAGAGTGGTCAGTGTGGTGTTTAATTGAGTTCTAGGCACACGCGGTCCGCTGTCTATTACTGGGAATTACGAGCCATTGTTGATTGGTGAAGTAGCCATGCTGTTGGGCAATTCGATTTTCGCTAAATCGACACGAACATTGAATAATCAGAATTATGTGATCCTAATGTTCACTAAATTTACCATTAATCAATTGAATCCGTTTGATCTACACTGCTTAGCGAAACGATCTCAGTGTATGTTGTCTGTAATGATGTGAAGGGTCTGCACTTAACCACGCTTCCAGAGGTGTGTAGATGAGATCTACTGATAAGCAGCGAGACGTTCCTAGGAATTGCCCACCGTTAATCGCTTAACAGCACTTTTCTCTCCGACGAGTTATATCCGCTTTAGGAGTGACTGCAGCATCGAAACTGCGATGAGAATAATCTAGACAATATTATATAGATTTATTAATATTACATGATTGCTATAAGTACTTAAAGTGTCATACCAAGCTGAGGCGAGGTGGATAAGAACAGAGAGTTACTCTATATGGTCGGACAGAGAGTGATTTATACCTGTTTTCGCGCGCCTCAAATTTCACAGTGCCGCGCGCTTTAGGATATTTGTGTATATGATTGTCAGTTGACATATTTCAACCCAGGTTCGAGTTTGTTTGTCAATCATAAAAGGCGTGCCGAGTTTGGGATGTTCTGGTGGTTGTATACATTCGCAGGTCGGTCCTGGATTGCGACTATATCAACAGCTGTCAGATCATTGGCAGAAGGGAGATTGTACTTGTGTTTGTGGCCACGATCTGCCAACGCGCATGTCCACTACTTCCGACGATGTGCTTGCCCCTTGGCCAGCATAAGTTTTTTTCTTGTTTTGGGGTGTGTTCCTGAGTTTTTTTATGAATTTGTTCATTATAGTGTAGCACTTTATGGCTAGATTTAATTTCCGCTGGCACACGCAAAGGAAAACAATACTGTGAACAAAGTTCAGGGAGTAAGAAATATCATGGGGCTAGAAACAGACTGTGAGTCTATTTCTTGCAATTCTCGCTTTCATAGAAGCACTAAATGCATTTCTTACAAGTAATAATTTGTTTGCCAATGCCTCTCCTCATAGTGGCGACTCGCGAACAGCAGGTTGGCACAAATCCATATTGCTGAGTGTGTTTGGTCAATGTAGTTGGTGTAGTGCGTCTTTGTTCTGATAGGCGAGCCGGATCTCCCAGACATCTCATCTCGGCATGAGAGGACCGGGTTTGGGGAATGAAGCCAACACTTATAGTCACCATTTCTGGTCACCGCACCCGAAATGTATTGAAGGGCGTGTACTTGCGAAAATGTCCCAAATGGACTGACGCGTACTATTAGGAGTTGCGGACTCCAAGTTAGGCAACTGTATGCAGTTAGTGATCAATAACCTATAACTATGAACCCATTAGCCGTCATATTACAACGATTAAATATAACATTAATAATCGTACACAACCATCGAGATCACACCGCTTAGTCATTTTCCAATCGATGCACCAAATTTGCCCTGACATAACATCACCTTCCTATTACTACTTCACTGCATAAAAGCGCGATCATTAACAATCGAGTTAAACATTGATTGAATGCGCGTTTCCACTGTCAGTGAGACTGCATGCTGGGCTAACCTTGATACCATCGCCTTACATTTACATGCATCACTGCACCCTAAACACCTGATCAATGGTGAACATATTTGCATATCATCCTGCACACCTCATTCGATAATCCTCATCATCAATAATCTAACGAATTTGATAATCGCAGTGATCATCAGTTCACAATAACAATTCAGTATCAATATCTTCAATCACCATAACATTAATAACCACATTAGAAATCAGCCTAACGAGTCAAATAGTCCGAGCATTAGAAATCTTACGCTAAACATCCCATACACCACATTAGAAATCACCTAAGCATCAATACGCCACATTGAAATTACGTGACATCAATTAACCCAGCATTGGAAATTACCTAACAACATTAGTAAAGCGACATTGATGACTTCCGTTAGCCGGCTTTAGGCGTCATTGTAGCTCGTGGCAGGATACATACCTGCGAGATGGCAATAGAATAATTACTGTAGATGAATGTAGTGCCGTGTGTGACGCAAATCAATCGTTCGGTGATTTGATTCAAAGAGCATCATTCAGCCAGTAGTGGGCCAGATGCTGTGGATCATATTTGTTGGTGATCAACAGGGTGTCAATAAGGCTGCTATGCCATTCTTGTAATCAGTGAGCTCAGGGTAAAATTGTTTGGGAGAATTATCACCAATTAAATCATTATCATGCGCCTGTCATTATAACACGTTGAGTGTGAAGGCCATTAAGCTGTGTTAGTGTTTCGTGTATTTCGGTTCACCGGATTACACCAGGGCGGGGGTAGCGTAAGCTGCGCAGTTTGGGGCGGCGCGTTGGGTCGGCGTAGTGTGTGCCTGCTTGTGGCGCGTCTTACAGCTCGGTTTGCTGACAGTTGGCTGATTTTGTGTAAGCAAGCGCGAGAGTATTTGTGAGGGGGGGGGGGGGGGGGGGGGGGGGAGGGCGCGGTTTTGGGGGGGGGGGGGGGGGGGGGGGGGGGGGGGTGTGTGGGGCGGGGGGGGCGGAGGGGGGCGGTGGGGGTGGGTTGTGGGGGGGCGGTTCGGGGGGGGGGTTGTTGGGTGGGGGGGGGGGGAGGGGGTAGGGGCGGTCGGACGGGGGTGGCGAAGGCGGTGTCGTGCGAAGCCATGGTGCTGGGTTGGCGACCTCATATAACCTAGCCCCCGGTCCTTTAGTGGATGATTCGATTTTACTTCCGCATCGTCATGGTTGTTCCTTAGCACCTGTCAGAGGTCACGAGGGGGGGGGGGGGGTGAGAGAGGGTGTGCGCGGGGGTCTTGATGTTGATCTTGTCTGATTTTGCGGTTGCTCGTTTGAATACCTGGTTTGGTGTTGCTCATTCCGTGTTGTTGTGTTAGCTTGGGTCTTGTATTGCTCTTCGTATTTCTATTGGTCTTGAATATTGCATATTGTATGCATGTTGGTTTCCCGCCGTGTGAACAGCCTTACATCCTGACTAATTCCCTGTTTTCCCGCTCCCGCCCGAAGCAGAAGGTGGCTTCTCAAGGCCCTGTGCAGAGAGCGTCGAACTGCCGCGCAGTCTACCTAGTCTGGCGCCGCGCAGACGCAGTTCCTCCTCGCATCGTATTGGCTGGTGTGCCGGAGGTGCTGTCAAAGCGAAAGTGAGGTCGTCTGCCTCCGTTGTGACCGGAAGTGTAGATTATAGGTCGAATAGTGCTTGGGTATGAGAGAAGTTAGTAATCTGCCCGCACCCCCGTTGCCGGAAATCAATTGTCCATATTAATTTTCAGCCATAGATGCATGACCTTTATACAATGGTCAAAAACTGGTAACTCTGAGGGGGGGGGGGGGGGGGGGGGGGGGGGGGGGGGTGGTGAAAGGGGGGGAGGGTCGGCGTGGGCGTTCTGTAGTGTTCGGTTGTTTGTTGGTGGGGGGTTGTGGTAGTGATGTAGTCTGAGTTAGTGGATATATGATCATGACCTCTGGGCGAATTAGGTCGTGTTGAAATTAGTGGGCATCGCGCTCAATCATGATCAGATTTATCTATGCGTCATTGAGGTGCCAGTAGAGGTGGGGTTGAAGAAAGGCAGGGTACTGTGCACCGTCATCTTGAATGTGGATGAAAGTGCATCATATGCATCTCCTGTAATAATGTGTCTTTAATAGTTTGAATCAACGATAGGTTAGTAAGATAAATCATCTTAATTAAAATTACTAGTAATCGAAATGCGATTATATCTCACAGGGAATTGGCTCTTTAAGTGTTTTGCCACAGTATTTAGACTGTAAGTAATAAGTCAGTTTGATTGCGTAGTGTTGCGGCAGTACGATTCGTATTTCATGCCCGAAATATGCCACACTCGAATGTAGGTAGCTGAGAGAAATCTATCAGTCATGATGTTTTTCG